ATGAGACCCTACCTCAAAAACAAACAGGGCTGTGGATATAGATCAGTTGGTAGAGTGCTCACCTAACATACATGCCTGGAGTTGGATCCTTAACCACACACAAGCCAGACTGGTGGTAAATATCTGTCATCCCAGCACAGGGGAGGTGGAGACGGTGGGATTAGCAGCTCAGGGTTTATCCTTATCTACATTGTAAGCTTGAGGACAGCCTGGGATACTGGATCCTGCCTCAGGACACTTACCCCTCAAAGAAATGAGGAGAGAGAGAGTTGTGAGTTTGCGCCATAGTGAACATCCCAGGGGCCAGGATACCATAGAAATCCTCTTTGTCCCTCCTTTCTAGGTCAAAGCTGGAGACCACTGGCGGTATTAAATGCACACATAGGCTTCCTTCCTGCCCTCTACTGTTGAGACAGGGTTTCTCTCTATAGCCCAATCTGGCTTCAAACTCACAATCCTCCTGCCTCAGCCTCCCGAGTGCTGGGGTGACAGGCATGTACCCTTTTACATGCTGGCTCCCTGCATTTCGGTAAAACACAGGGCATTTTTTTCTCCTGGTGGCCATGCACAGCCCTGGACAGGTACGAACTCAGCCCCCAAAGCAAACATACTAGTTACTACCCTCAGTCAGAGTCGAGGAAAAGGAGGGACAGATGAGCTAGGTTAAGGGGTGAGGGAAGATTTGGACTGATTAACAGAGAAGATGCTCGCTAGACTTCCAGGCCCAGGTTTCAGGACTTGTCAGCCAAGGTGTGCCCCGTCCCACGTGACCCCAGCTGAGCCAATCACAAACTCCCTAAAGAAACTGCAGGGCCTAGACTTCTCCCCCGATTTGTCCTTTGCTTCCTGTTCGACCCCAGTCCCTTCCCTTGGGATCCCACAGCTGATCCCGGATCCCACCGGCCTGGATAGGGTCAGAAAGGGTAAGCGCGTCGGACGTCTTAGTGGCGGGCTATCTGTTCCCCAGCTGGATTTAGAACAACCGAAGGCCTGCTCATAAATTTGCAGCTGCCGTGCGTCCGAATGAATGCTTTGTACAGCACAAGTGGGGCTCCTACAATGCTTCCAAGACCAGAAGGCTGAACGGGAGCCAAGTGAATGACATTTAGCCGGCATAATGCAAAGTCTGAAGAGTGACTGAAGAAGCCGTTGTGTAAGCAGCAGATCAGGGAGGGAGCGCTGGCGGGACAGTAGCTCATGGGAGAAAGTGCACACTGCATGGCAGTGAATGGAGACATTTGAGTTTGCAAGCTTGTGGGCTGCATTACTAGAGATTGAGTGTTTGGAAAACGGGAGGGGACGGTGCATTTTCTATTGGCCGCTGTCCACGTGCAAAACTTGTTTCTAGCTCTGGTCCCCAGACTTCAAAAGGGACAGTGCCAAATGAAAGTATTTCAGTAAAGATAACCTAGGCTCTGAGAAACCACAGTCCTGAAGACACAGCTCCTGGGGAAGCCAGGACCCCTTGTGCAACTGACTGGGGGAGGGGCAGAGAAGTAATCAGAACCAAAGACGAAGTAGGGAGGTCTCAGAGGCTTCTGGAAACCCACCCCGGCTCACTCCGAGCAAAAAATGACTCACTCTTAAGGGACCAGGGTTGATTTTGAGGCCTGGTGGTGGGGAGAGAGAAACGGGAAATTAAAGGGATATGGGAAAGGATCCCGCACCGAGTCTGGGAGTCTAATCAAAGGCTCGCAGCAGATCAGAGTCAAGAATTCTAGCAAAGGGGGCCAGAGAGATGCTTGGTAGTTAAGAGCAATCGCTGCTCTTCTAGAGGACCTGTCCCAGCACCCACATGGCAACTCACGACTGCCTGTAACTCCAGCTCCAGGGGATTCGACATCCTTTTCTGTGCTCCTCAGGCACCCTCAGGTATGTGCACAAACTCACAGACACATAACACATACACATAATAAAAATTAAAGAAAATCTTGGGGCTGGAGAGGCAGATCCATGGTTAAGATCACTGGCTGCTCTTGCAGACCTAGGTTCAGTTCCCAGCATGGCTTCAGCTGACAATCATCTGTAACTCCAGTTCCAGGGGATCTGAAGGCCTCTTCTGGCCTCTGCAGGCATTGCACGCATGAGTGCACTTTCATAGATGCAGGCAAAACACACATAAAATAAAATAAGTAAAAAAAAAAAAAAACGGGCATGGTAGTGCATGCCTTTAATCCCAGCACTCAGGAGGCAGAGGCAGGTGGATCTCTGTGAGTTCAAGGCCAGCCTGGTCTACATAGTGAGTTCCAGGTCAGCTGGGGCTACAGGGAGACCTTGTCTCAAAAAAGATCAAAAATAAAATAAAATAAAATAAAATTCCAGCACAATCAACAGCTGTGGCCAGGCAGGCTGAAATCTCAATACTCTGGAGACAGAGGGAGGATGGACACATAATTCAAGGACAGTCTGGACTCATGGTGAAAGTAAACGAGGAAAACCTGCTCTGAAGGCTTCCTACATATAAAATATTCCTTTTAGAGCGAGATGGACAGCAAAACCACCTAAGCACACAGGACACCGAGCATGGCCGGACTTCTCACCTAAACCTACAATTTTCTAGAGATCTCACAAGAAACCCCATTTGCAGTAGAAGCCACGTGTCAAGCCTCTTGTGCAATCTTGTGATCAATGGCTTTATCTTACCAGATTGAAATCCTATCCAAGGCACCTCCAGAGCCACCCTGTAATCTCACTTATCAAAAAAAGTAAAAATGAGGGAAAAGTTTCTCAACCACCTTTACAGATGTAACTTGAAAGCCACCAAAACTGTATACATGGCTATGGTTTAAGTGTGACTCTCTTGAGAGACCACATCCACAAACTGAACTGTCACCCTTTCTCCCAGTGTCTATTACCTCCTGTGCTTACATCTAAACTAAAATCTTTAATAAACTGCAATTCTGCACCAATTTCAGGTCAGTCCTAAAATTCTTCTCTGCAATGAAGTCAAGAATCACAATGAATTCAAGACTGGAGAAATGGCTCAGAGGTTAAGCACACTGGTTGCTCTTGCATAGGACCTTGGTTCCAGTACCAGCACCCACATGGCAGCTAACAACCATCCTTAACTCCAGTTCCAGGGAATCTGGCGCCTTCTTCTGACCTCTCTGGACAGTATAACTTGGCCAAGGTCTCAGAGCTGCTCGTTGTAGAAACTATGGTGCTCTGATAGCCAATGGGTCAGCTATGGGCAAGGGGAAGCTGTGCCTCAGGAGGTGGAGCTTCAACCGGTTGTGACCCTGAATCAGAGTGGGTAGGATGGGGTCAGGGGAGCTGTAGGCAGACACTCCCAGTTAACAGGCCCAGGTGATCATGAAGTGGTGGTATCGCAGAAAGGGCAGTGTGGCGCACTCAGGGCCACATGAGTATGGGCAAGACCAGGGCTGGAAGTAGGCAGAGGCTGTAGGATAGTCTGACCCTGCAGATTCAGGCAGCTGGAGCCAACTACAGACTTTAGAGTCTGGCAGATGGTTTTAACCACCATGGGCTCTGGGGGTGCTGGATTGGGTTGGGGCAGATGCCTCTGGGCCCCTGGGTAGGCAGGAGCAGTCAGGTGGTAGCTGAGGATCATGTCCAGAGATGGGACATGTTGTTGGTGCCCCAGCAGGATGAATGGAGGGCATGGGAGCAGCTTGGGGGGGGTGTGTGTCTGGGAGTTGAAGGGGGAGGGCCTTCTAGTTCCAGCTCAGAAAGTCTCTGAGGAGCCAACTCAGTGACTTGCACCCACTGAGAGTATGGAATAAAGGGGTGGGCCCCGCCTCAAAGCCGGCATTGTCGCCCCCTCACCCGCCTGACTGTCTGGGACCCAAAATAGAGCAGGAGTACAGTGATCTCGTGAGAAGATTCTGGCAAAGTGGTCTGGGGGGAAGGGCATGAGTCACCACCACTGGGAACCCTTAAGTTTGAGGCTCCCAAAGCTGTGAGGCCCTGCCCAACCCCAAGAGTCTGGAATCCACGTGGGGGAGGCTGCCCCCACCCACTCCTGTCTCACTGTGTCCTGGATAGGGCCCTGGCTCTGGTCTCAATGCTGCCATGGAGGGACTGGGTGACTGCCCTTGCTTTGTCCCACTGGGAACCTGTTTCCCAGAGGTAGGAGAAGCCAGGGACTTCAGACCGACACCGGTGGTGAGGCTTCTGGTGGTCAGAGGCTGGATCACTCCCACTGCCTGAGAGACCTTGAGCAAGTTCCCTTAATTCTCAGAGCCTGTTTCCTCATCTGTAAAGTCCTGTTCTTTCAAAGTTTCAAGTCAGGCAATCCATGTGGAATCCTTCGAGCTCCTGGGAACTCCCTCATGCACCCCCAAGCTCACGGCTAGCACAGTTGGACACGTTAGCATGTCCTGCAGTGTAGTCTGCACACACCGCCTCCCGCTCCTCACATGCTGGAGGGTGGAGGTGGCTCTTGTTCCCAGTCCCTCCTGGCTCATTCTCAGCCTCAGTACCAGCCACGCCTGGCCAGGATTCTGGCTCCTCGTGGGTACTACCATGTGTCAGACCTTCACAGGCCTTGGCTCAACCCCAGGGCCCTGCGCTGCAGAGCTGACCCCTCTGGTTGCGCCGTGGAGGAATAGGATCTTCTTCCGCGAGTCAAAGGAGTCGATGGGCGCTTGGTAGTGCAGGGTACTCGACACAGCTCAGAACCCGTGGCATCCGGGGAGTGCACGGGGCTGGCGCGCCCTCTAGAGGCCACTCAGCCTCTGCACCCTTGCTCTGCAGCCCAGCGGTCCAGAGCCAACCAGCAGAAGCCGTCACCACACCACGTGGGAAGTCCTTCTTTGCGCCTCCTCGGATCCCGCCTGCTGCTGCTCCACCTCTGGGAGCTGAGGGCTCTTCTCTCCTAGGTTTCCCAGAGACCCCACTGCGCCGGCGTGCCCCGCCCGGATCACCATGGAGACCACTTGTACACAGTCTCCCCCTCTCACCTCCCCCTCCCCAGGCCTCTCTGGTGGGACCGGCGCCCACATAGGAGGGAGCCCACGGGGCCAGGTGGCGGAGCACCCATGAACAGCTCGGCCTCAAGGACGCTGGCTGTGGAGAAAGTGAGATTGTTCGGTCAACACCGCGGGGAGGTGAGGCCCAGGGTGCTCTGCTCAGCCTTGGGGTCTGGGGTCCTTCCTGTTCCTTTGTGGTGGGGTTCCAAAGTGCTCAAAGAATTCTTGGTTATTTTTTCTTGTTCTGTCATTGGTGAGGAAGCTTCAGGCTGGCCTGGGCCAATCCTCCTGCCTCTGCCCTCCCTGGTATTGGGATCACAGTTGTTCACCACCATGCTCCAGCTTCGATTCTGTGCTCGGCCTCTGGCCCTTAAGTGTATTAACTCAGGGCTTAAGTAGATTGAATTTGCAGTTCTCAACACGCACTCCAGAACGGGCACTTGCTTTTGGGGCTACAGGCAGGTTTGTAGGGCTCTGGTTGTAAATAGAGACCTGGAGTTCATGCTCCCACCGCAGGCCTTGGACAGTTTAGGGATGACACAGGAGCGGTCAGAGCTGAGAGGACAGGTGATTCCTGACTGGCACTGGACCACTTCCAGGTCAACTGCTCTGCCTTCTCTCCTGATGGCAGGACCCTGCTCACAGCCTCCGATAATGGTTGTGTGTATAGCTGGGAGACCAAGAGCAAGTGGCTGCTCTGGAGACTGGAGGGCCACACGGGTGGGGGGGCTCAGCCACCTTCTGGGGAGAGGATCTCCAGGGCTCTATGACACTCTGCAGTCTACCTGGTGACCTCTGCCCTTGGGGGGAGGGGGTGGTTGGAGCAATCTAGTGTGGGCAGAATCCAGGAAAGGAGATAGGGTACCTGACACCCAGGGGGCCAGGCCTCTCACAACAGAACTGGACTTCATCTTATTCAAAAGTAGTCTTAATATATAACTTACCATTTTAAGCATGCAGCTCAGTGGTAAGTACACTCAAAAAGCCCTTGGCAATGGCAGAATGGCACCCATGAAAACAGCCCATCCTCACCAATCCCCAGTTGTAGCACTTCCCTTACCCAGTGGAATGAATGCTACAGTGCTCCTGACTTCATTTAATTTCCCTAAGGTCACCCATGTTGTCACACCACTTGGCCTTTTTTGAAAGGGTCTCCCGGTAGCCCCAGCTGGCCTGAAACTATGTACCTGCCTCTGCCTCCAGACTGCTGGGACAAAAGGTGTGTGCCAACATGCTTACATGAACCCTTTTTGAACCATGCTTCTTGGTCATGTCACCTGAGCCATCCCCACAGGATGAGTCAGTGTAAGCAAGATGCCTAGCAGTCAGGAGACATAGCTGTTTAAAGACAAAGACTGTAACAGGGCAGTGACTACTGCCATGAACAGGATCGGTTCTGGCTGGAGCCTGAGCAATTAGGTGGGTATGAGGGCGTTTCTGGGAGGAACCATGTACATTTGATTTGAGGATTGCTCTTCTAGGTGGGCAAACCGGAGGAATCATGCGTTCCAACTAAGGCCAACTCAAGTCAGACAGGACAAGGCTTTCAGGGTGGGTGTTTAGGTGAGGGATGTCAGGTGACAAAACTGAAGGGCAGGAGGGCAATGCCCTATATTCCCTGCCCCAGGCCCAGTGAATTTGTTGCTCCTCCCCGACAGCCACCTCTTTGCCAGCTCCTCCTGTGACTGTACCATCTGCCTGTGGGACATAGCCAGAGTCAAGTGTCTGCATGTGCTGAAAGGTGAGCTGGCTGCTGGGAGTCACACAGCCAGGTCTGGTTCCTTTGTGGACTGTTGTGTGTCCTGTCCCCCTTTCCCACCCCTGGGACGGTGCTTGCAGGTGTGGAGAGTCAGCTTCAGCCCAGATGTAAAGCAGCTGGCGTCTGGGACAAGAAAGAGATGCTCTGGGAGGTGCAGGTGATGTGAGGATGGAGCCGGGCCAGACTGGGGTCATAGATGACATGTATCCCCCTTGCCCTTAGTGGTTCCGACTGCATACTCCCACCCTGGTACCCAAGACTTCACACCTGGTGGCCGTTTTCACAACCTACATAAGCCTTCCTTCTGTTATGGCCAGGCCCAGCCCAGTCTCTTGGGCTGCCCACCTCCACCTCTGCAGCTCAGGCTCTCTCTGCAGTGTGGCCACAATCTGCACCTCTTGGTTGGGCACCGTGATTGTCCAGAGCAGTGACTTCTCCCCTACTGCCGACTCACTGGTGAGCCTCACCTGAGTGCACCCTGCCTCTGCCCATAGCTGCAGGAGTAGGGAGCCGTTTCATACTTATGGCCCTACTTTCAGACCACTGGTTCCTGGGATTCCACTGCACCATCTGGGACCTGTGCATGGCAACCCCAGCTGTTTCCTACCAGGAATTGGAGGGCCACAATGGCGACATTAGCTGCCCGTGCTACTCAGGATCTGGCCTCTTGGTAAGTCAGGTTGCCCCAGGTTCCAGGCCAGTGTGGGGCACAGTGAACACACAGGCCCCACACCTGTGGCTCAGAGCCGTCTCTTCAGGTATCTGGCTCCTGGGACAAGACCATCCGCGTCTGGAAGCCCACAAACAGCAGCCTGCTCCTCCAGCTCAAGGGCCACAGCACCTGGGTGAAGAGTAGCCTTTTCCCCTGATGAGCTGAATCTGGCCAGTGCTGGCTACTCCCACATGGTAAGCACATGCAGCCCCTTCTCTGGTGGCTTCAGCACTACTAGCCATGTTGATGGGTCCAGCTGCACAAGACCCAGATACTGACCTATCACCTAAATGGCAGCACAGAAGGCTGTGTTATCACACACTACCCACATTGTTGGCCTTCAGACAAACCCTGCAGAAAAAGCCCAAGCTGTGACACTCCTGGAGCTACCTTCAAGGATGCACATCAGCACCTCTCTAACTTTGCTCCCTGCTTTCACTTCCAGGTCAAAGTCTGGGATTGCAACACAGGAAGTGCCCTGAGACCTTGAAGGTAAGACTGTGCTGCAGTGGAGAGCAGGAACCTGTAGAAGGAAAGATGCAGGGGCTGGCATGACCTGCCAATCCAGAGTCTAATGTTAGGCTGTTGGCAAGGCCTGCTGGTCAGACAAGATGACAAACCAGTCCACCACTCAAGTCACTCGGGACTTCTTCCATGCACCACCATGCCATAGGCCCAAAGTAACCAAGAAAGCCCATCAGTCCCCACTATAAGAACTATCCCACCCCATACCAAGGCAGTCACCTGCTATGAGTATGGCCACAACCAGGACCAGCCAGGCCAGTCTCAACCCCTACCCCACCCCACCCCACCCCACCCCACCCCACCAAGGTGACCAGTGCTAAACACCAAGCAGAATGACAGCCAGTTTTGTTTTATTGCAAACTGCGGTGACCTCAGGCCTTGACTGCGTACTTGCGCAGTGGGTACAATCGCTCCTTCCGCTGCTGCTTCTTGGTCTTCAGCTTCTCCTCATGTTTGGTGAGCCGGCGGCGCATGGCTCTAGTCTTCTTGGGCCTCAGGTCCAGGGGCTTGTACTTCTTTCCCTGGGACAGAGAAGAAAGGATCAGTCAGCGCCAGGGACTTAAGGCTGCTGCAAGGAGCAAGCAAGCAAGCACTGAAAGGCTATGGGGAAGATGCTGGGGAGGTGCTCAGGTAGGAGGGCACAATGGAGACAGGAAGCTAGTCTGTTGTATGAGCCACTCACCCAGGGGCTGCCAATGAGATTGGCAGGCACCATCTCCACCACCTTGAAACAAACCACCCACAACAGCTGTTCCTCTCTACAAACTGTCCAAGCCCATTCAGCTGGGAAGGCCGAGTTCAACAACACCCAATGTGTATCCACAGCCAGACCTCCCATCCCCCACCTGATTTCTTTACACCTGCAGCGTGGGCTCAATCAGCAATTCTACAGACCAGTGTGGAATGCTGGTAAGAGGGTGAACTCAACCACAAAATGCAAGCCTCTAAAGGGGCCAGTCTCACACGGCCTAGAACCTCTGAACAAAGCCCCCTGGCCAGTGCAGGACTAACAAGGGCTACCTGCAAGGCCACACTCTTAAGCACCACTTACCTTGTAGAATTTCCTGAGGTTTTCTTTCTGGGTCTGGTTAATGACGGTGAGAACTCGGGCAATAGATTTTCGGACAACTCGGCTACAGAAACAGACAGTCAGTGAACATAGGGAAAGCGCACGTGTGCCAACAGACTCCCAACAGAACAGCAACAGGAATCAGTGCCTGGGACCTAAGAGCAGATACTTAATAGAGGTAAGACAAATCAGGAAAAACTTCCAACCCTGACCAAGAACTCATCCATGCCAACCTGAACCAGGTGAGGAGCCATGCTAGAAGATGGCCCAACTAGCTCACCTTAAGAAATTGCAGGAAAGGCTGCTCAGCTGGGAGAAATGCAAGAGGCGGGGGAGAAGAGACTGAGGCAAGGAACCAGCTGGAGAGAACTGGATTTGTAGTCATGGTGATCAGAGGACAAGGGCAGGCCCATGACAGGAGACCATGGTCTGGAGGACTCAGCAGTTTTTCTTATGTTTCTCTACACACTCTTCCCCCTCAAGGTTGTCTGGGGGTAGAGCTGGTGGTATCCATATATATACACATAAATCCAGTTCTGGGGAGCTGGAGAGATGGTTCAGGGGTTAAGGGCACTGACTGCTCTTAGAGAGGATCCAGCACCCACCTGGCTAACAGCCCCGATATATCCAGTTCCAGAGGATCCAATATCCCTCCATGAGTTCAGGCATTGCACAAGGGTGCATTATCACATTCGGGCAATACACTCATAAACAGAAACTAAAAATAGTAAATAAAATATTTAAATCCATGTTCCCTTCACAATTTTTCCTGATCTCAAATCCTGGTACAACTCATTTAATGGGTGTCAAGGACCCATCTACAGGGGAAACGCAAGGCTGGTGGGAGGCTGGAAGCAAACGGGGGGGGGGGGTTCCACCACCAATCGTCAGGAACACCCAGTTCCTCAAGCATATAAGCTAGGAAAGGGCATCCGAGGAAAAAAAAAGGCCAGAGGGTCAAAGGCAAGGTAGAGTGACCCCGCAAAGGGTTTCCACGCGGCCCTAGCACACACTCGGCGGGCACTTACATCTTGGAGAGTTTGGACGCGGCGCCGCCTGTCACTTTTGCGACCCGCAGCTGGGACAGCTCTACCTTCAGATCGTCCAGCTGTTTCAGCAGCTCCTCCTTCTTCTTGCCGCGAAGGTCCCGAGCCTTAATCTTAGCCTGCCATAGAAACGTCCGTCCGGGACGGTCAGCGCGCGGGTTCTCGCGCCTCCACTGCGGGCAGTCGAAGCCGGGACCCGGGTCCGCGCAGGCCGCAGCTCGGCAGCAGGAGGGTCTGCGCCCCGGGAGGTCTCGGCGAAGCGAAGCCGCAGCCCCTGCCGCGCGGCGGGTCGGGCGGAGCCGGAGCGGAGCCAGCTACGAAACCCAGGCCCGTCCCGCTCGGCCCCCACCAGGCTCGCCCCGCACCCCGGCCCCCGGCGCTCCTCCCGCGCTCCCGCCGCTGTCCACGCGCGCTCCCTGCGCTCGGATGGCGCAGGATTCCAGATCCCTCACCATGGCTGCACTACTCGTTGTTGTCCCCGCTGCCGCCGCTGTCCGAGAGAAAGAGGAAGGGGCGGAGCTGACCGCCGCAACGACCGCCGGGTAGCGTCGGGCGCAGCCAATGGCTTCACGATGTGGGAGCCCCGCCCCTCCGCGCGCCGCAGGAAGCGGAGCCATGGTGCTTGTGGTTCCTGGGCGTCCTGGGTTGGCCGGTGGCTGGTGAGGAGCGTAGTACGGGAAACTGAGTCCCGAGGTGAGCGGCTAACAGTCGAAGATAGGATCGTGAAGTCTGCATTTCGACCGTTTAGTCATTTATTCGGGAAACCTGACGTTTCCGGTTTATGCTGCTCTGAGCTAGGCGCCAGTGTTCTGGGGATGTTGAGGGCAGGGGGTGTGAGGATTTTCTTTTTTAATTTATTTGAGACAGGGTCTCACTATGTAAATCCTTGCTGGCCCGGAACTCATTATGTAGATCAGGCTAGCCTCAAACTTACAGCGCCTCTGCTGGGATTACAGGTGTGCCCCACCATGGCTGACCTGTCTTGAATTTGTTTTTGAAGTGTGTGTAATAGAGATCGTGTGTGTGGTCACAGGATAACTAGAGAGTCAGTTTTCTCCTTTAACCATGTGGAGCCCAGCGACTGCACCCTGGTCGTCAGCGCTGGCAGCAGGCTTCACCTGCTGAACCATCTCGCCGATCCAGTTTTGGGGTTTAGGGATATATATATATCCTTGCCGGATCTGGAACTCCGAGGTTGGCCTCGAACGTCTTGCACCACCACGTGGCACGGAGGAGGGTTTTCAGGGCAGAATGAATGGTGGGGCGAGTCAAACAACAGGACCTTTCTGTTGGAGGCAGCGTGGTGCAATATAAATTACATCCCCATTCTTTTTGAATTTCAGTTTTTTTTTTTTAAACTTATTTTTATTGAATTTTTGCGATTTTCATACAATATAGTTTGATGGTATTTAGGTCTCCTCTCCTATCTGTACCTCCCCCCACTACCCCCACCCAATTTAATGTATTCTTAGGTGTATAAAAAACACAGCCAGCTAGGCACCTGTCAAGCGTTTAATCCCAGCAGAGGCAGGTGGATCTCTGAACTCAAGGCCAGCCTGGTCTACATAGTGAGTTCCAGGCCAGCTGGGGGTTACAGAGAGACCTGGTCTCAAAAAATTTTGTTTTTTTTAAAAAAACCAAAAACACATCCTAGTCTGATTTGTGTCTTCAAATGTCCTTCACTGTGTCCATCCACTGAACCCACCTAGAGTCCCGTTCCTGTACGTCTTTCCCCCTCCCAGCTGCCTGAATCAATTGCCTTCAAAGTCTTGCTTTAGATCCTGGCACTATAGCATACACCCTAAATCCTAGTGTTTGGGAACTGAAGGCAGGAGGATCTGGAGTTCAAGTCCATCCTCCACTACAATAGTGTTGGAAGTCAACCTGGGATGTATGAGAACTTGCCTCAAAAAATTCCAAAACAAAATCAAGTTTTTGTTTTATTGCTAGGTACTAGTTGATACTGGCAAATCTCTTCCTCTGACCAGTGTTTCCTTGCCTATGAAGTGGTATATCTTTTTTGTTTTGTGGTTTTGAGATGAGGCACCCCATAGCCCCAGCGAGCCTGGAACTGGCTAGGTAGACCAGGCTGGCCTTGATCTTACTGAATTTGACCTCCCGAGTGCTGGGATTAAAGGTGTGCGCCACCATGCCCACTAAAGGGGTACATCTTTGAGAATTAGAGAAGTTAGCATATAAAGCTCCTAGCCTAAGACCTAATACCTAAAAATTCCTTACAGTATCATTGGTATTAATTTGGCCCCATGCCTTCATCTCCACACTCCCAGACCACTGGCATCTAGGGCAGAGCAGCGCAGATTGAGAGATTTGCCAGGTTTCTGGAATAAATGATTGATTGATCGGACAAATTGGAGCCCTTTCTGTGCCAATCTCCAGTCAGCTGCTGCCCTTTCCAGCAATTTCTGTGTTCAGTACATAATGCTGACCTAGACAGCAGAACAAATAGGAACTCACAAAGTAGTGTAGGTGAAGGTTTTTACTCCTTTCTCACACCCTTAAGGGTAGCAGCCTATTCTTAAATTGCAACTCCTCTGTTCAGTCCCCTTTACACCAAGCTGAATTAAATGTGTTCATGTGTCCATCTCCATAGCCATTCTGGAAGGTGACTGAGGGCAAAACCACCTAATTCAGTTATCTGCCCCCCAGATCCAGATGGATAATTGTTGAACAGATGAATTTATGAACCTTGCTCCAGACCACTAAGGCTTCCAGAAGGTAGAGGGAAATGGAAAAAGAAAGCATAATCTTAAAAGGAAATCTAAAGGTACAATTTTCCACATTTATGGTTCAACTAGAGTTAATGGTTATGCACATTTTTTTGAGTTTTTTTGTGCTGGGATTGAACCCAGGACCTCTAACATACTGAGTGCTATGCAGAGAGCTATATTCCCCATCCTGCATCCTTGAAGCTATCTAAGAACTCCACTGTTTCTATTACATGTCCCATCTAATCTACTAGTAAATCTTGTGGGCTGTTCCAATATACCTGGTATGTTCCCATGACTTTTTTGGCACCTGCCTGGCCTGAGCCACTATTGCCTTCCATCTACCTCCTAAATCACTTCACTACTTTGGTTCTTGCTTCCAGATGTTTTCAGCACAGCTGCTAGACCCCCCGCCCCACTTTCAAATTTAAGATCATGTCTCTACCTGCTCAAAATTTTCAAGACTGTCCCATCTGGGTTGACTGAATCCTTTCCCTTTAAGAAATTCACAGGCAGCAGGTGTGGTGGTCCACATCTTTAATCCCAGCATTTGGGAGGCAGAGGTGGGCAGATCTCTCTAAGTTCGAGGCCAGCCTGGTCTACATAGCATTCCAGGCCAGCTGGAGCTACAGGGAGACCCTGTCCATAAAACAAAAAAAGAAATTCAAAGGCACTAAATCATTTTCTCCTGCGCACTCTGCCATCCCCGATGAAATACAAATGGATTTGTTTTGAGACAGGGTCCCTCTCTGTAACCCTAACTGGAACTCACTATGTAGACCAGGCTAGCTTTGAACTCACAGAGATCCACCAGTCTCTGCCTCCCTAGTGCTGCAATTAAAGGTCTGTGCCACCACACCCACCTGTCCAGACTCTTGATCCTCAAGCCTCAATCTTCTGGGATTGGGATTACAGGGGTGCACCATCATGCAAGATGTTAGATCATGGATTTTAAAATTCTCCCTGACTGGGATGGAAGTTTATGAATGTGTGCTAGAACATTATTTCATTGAGAAGTTTGAGGCTGTTTCCTTAGTTGTCAAATGTCTGGTGTTAAGTTCCTTCTGACCATGAGGTTCTAAGAATATGATTTCTGCTATCTTGTGGCCTGAGTCACAAAGATTTCTTCGCAGATATGGAGCCGGGAATGCAGGTGGGTTTTGACTACTTCCAGGATCTGCTACTTTATTCAGCATCTCCCCCTCCCTCCCCCCCTCCCTAATGGGAGTCCATCTTTTAGCATGCCAGGGTTAGGCTGCATCAGTCTGGCGGATTTTATTGGTCCGCAGACAGTTAAAGTATTCAAAGAAAAAACATGTTTAAACTACTGATTTTTGCCAAAAGGAGTGCTATCAGGTGAAGATGTAATAAAAAGTTTTCATACAATTATTATGAAATGATCCATTTTAACCTAAGGTTAAAGTCAAGAGAAACCCTTAGCGATCTAATACAAACGTCCTAGGCGTCCTAGACGCTGCCCTAACCTCCCTCCCTCCGATCAGATCGTGGGAGTTCTGTATTTGCTTCCTAAAATACGCCTCTTGGCGAGCCTGCACCTTCATGAAGTGTCTATGGGTGGCCACTGAATTTACTTTCCTGGCGCCGGGTGTCCGCAGGGGTCGCCAACATCCTCAAGTGAGGACCTCATCAAGCTCCCGCCTGCACCTGGGATACACGTTCAATGTCTAGTATTTTCCTCCTTTAACAATTGAGTCATCCTATCTTGGACAGGTTCAGGACGGTGGTGTTCAAGGATGCGAGGCTCGGCCACGTTCCAGCTCACTCCCGGGGCTAAGACTCATCCCTCAGCTCCGAGGATTCTCCGCGGGGCCTGCGGGGCGCTGAAGGCAGATGAGGCGACTTTCTGGTCTGCGCACCCATCAGTCTCGACGGGCTTCCGGGAGGACGCAGTGTTCCCGCCGCCGCGCCGCAGGCCTGGCTTCCTGCCCTGGAAAGCAGGCGGGACGAAGACAGGAGACCGTCCGCCAGTCTGGGACAGAGCCACAAGAGCTCCACAGGTCCTCCCGAATCTCCCGCCCCGACCAGCCTGCTCCTCACTTCCGGTTCCGGCGCCGACCGGAAGTGGAGGGCGGGCGACGGCGGCTGCGCGCGGAGGAGGGGAGGAGGAGCCCGACGGACGCTTCCCGCCCCCGAGCCGGTGCGGTGCCGTGCGGTGCGGAGCTAAGCGGAGCCGAGGGGAGGTCCGGCCCAGGGGAGCCGGCTGAGTGGCCGCCGAGCTCCCGCCATGGCCCGGAACACGCTGTCCTCGCGCTTCCGCCGGGTGGATATCGACGAGTTTGATGAGAACAAATTCGTGGACGAGCAGGAGGAGGCAGCGGCGGCAGCGGGCGAGCCAGGCCCGGACCCCGGCGAGGTGGATGGGCTCCTGCGGCAATATCCTTCCCCCGCGCGGCGCGGCGGCCGGGCTCAGCCTTCCCACCCTTTGGTCTTAGGCCCCTTGCTCGCCACCCGCTCCTACCAGTGCCCGGGCTGCCCTCAGCCCCGGCCTCCCGATGCCTTCGTCCTCAGCAGCGCGGGTCGGAGCACGCCTCATTCCTCCGCGCGGCCGCGCTCCCCAGCCCTCAGGGTGTGCATGCCTCGGGCTTCGTCTCCATCCATCCTTGCACCGAACGGCCACTGGCGCAGGTCCGCGGGGGAGGGAGGGGTGGACGCGGAGGTGAGCCAACTCCGAGTCATTGGGCAGCCAGAGCCACTAGGGGCACAGGCCTCCGGGGCCGGCCGTACTGGCTTTCTCGGGCAGGATTCTCATAACATGAGAATAGGTGGGTGGGTGGGTGGTTGCGGGGAAGAAAGGACCAGGGGGTGGGGGCGGGGACGGTGATGGCTGCAGCCGCGTGCCAGCCTTCAGGTGAGGTGATACACCTCCTACTCCAGAGCTTAAATGCCATCTTTTCTCGCCTGTCCCATCACTTTTCTTCCCAGCACGTTGGGCTTTGGACCTTGATGGGCTGAGCTACATTCAACAAGTGAGTTGCGACTCGCCCAGTAACAGCCCTGCTTAGCAGTGGAAAAAGCTAGCAGTTAGAGATAAGAAAAAACATACATTATCAGTGCAAAAGCGGAGTCCCACGACTGGAAATGACTGCTCTGGTGGCTACAGAAAACAAACGTTTAGAACAGAAGAGTAAAAATAGAGGTGATTGTCACAGCTAGCTTCGTCTCAGCAGTTTGAGCACAGGAAACTGACTTATTCTCACAGGAAGATTTTTTTTTTTCTTTATTCAAATGGTGTTACAGGAAGTGTGTACCCCTCCCCCGCACTTGCCAGGGCAGGGTTGCAGGCTCTTGCTGTATATAAATCAAGTTCTGGATGTTGACTCAGCTTGCACTGCTTTTGGGAGGAGTCCTTCAGTGCTCCTCCAATGTGCCTTTAAAACAAAAACCCTTCAGAGTCTGTTTAACAGGAATGTGTTTTCAAAGGTGGAGATTTAAACTTGTATTTCATGTACCATCCAGACGGTTCACCATCCAGGTAGTGAAATGGGGTCATGAGAAGGTCCCCCTGGAGGAAAGGTTGGTTTTCTGGTCTGGCTGCAAGGATGTCTCATGGGCAGTCAGCACAGAGGGGAAGGAGTCAGGTCTTTGGCCCAGAATCCTAATTGTACAGGTGAAGAGACCAGGGCCTAGTCAGCTGGTGCCTTGGTCTTGTTGCTGCTGGGACTTGTTGAAGATCATGTCTCCACAAGGCCTTGGCTAGTCTGGGTTTCTGGAAGCAGCTTAGAGGCCTTGGCTTAGCTCTTGTAGAAGATGGTTCTTCGCTAATGGCTGTCTGAAGCCTTGTTACCATGGAGCATGTACCTCTTGGGATTGGGGGAAGGGCTGTTAACAAATGAGACCTGAAACCCTAGATGTGGGGCCCAGGTAGGGAGAAGGGTAGAACTAATAACTGAATCCCTCCCATGTGCCAAGTGTTGGACTTCGGTTAGACCATTACATTTCATCTGCAGAACCTCTTAAGAGCCTTAGGAGAGAGGAACTAAGAGGTTGGTTGGTTGAGGTGGGGGAGGTGAGGAGGAGGCAGTCTCAGGGCTGTGCTGTGAATTATGTTGTGTTACAAGAGCACACTGAGGAAGCAGAAAACCTGGGCTCTGATCTTGCATAGGTCACATACCCACAACCTCAATCATTCTTTTAAATGATAGTCATGTTGGCCTCACCGCCTCAATGGGAGCATCACTGAACATATAGCTGGTGTCCTCCCACAGCTTAGGTCAAGGGTTAGCAGTAGCAAGGGTTTGTAGAGAGGGCTTGGGTTTGAAGGCAAGCTGGACAGTGTAGCTTTGTATTTTCTGTAAGGTAGAAGTAAAGGTCTCATCCCAGCAGGCTTTTAGAATGAGATGAGACATGAGAGCTATGCCCAGGGCCCAAGACCCTGTGGCAGTGGCTTTTCCCCTATGTCATAGTTGTAAAATATCACTGTAGCTCCTTTTCCTCAGTGAAGCAGCATCTATTCTTGGAGGAGGAGTACAGTGGTGGTTTTGAGTGATTTTGCTTTCCTTTCAGCCCTCTGAGAAATTTGGCAGTGTTTGGAGACATTTTGTTGATTGTCACAGTGCTGGAATGTTACTAGAAACTTTGTGGGTAGAGGCCAGGGAGGCTGTTAGGCATCCTTCAGTACACACCAAAGAATTATCTGGTCTAAAATGGCTGTAGGGCTGTGGCTGAGAGTAGTCTAGAGAGTTTTCTAGTCACCAGTCTGTTTTGTGAAAGGGCTAAAAGTCAGCTGGGTATGGAAGCTAGTTCTGGAAACTGATTACATGGATGCCCTCCCTGCTCTCCCTTCATCCCAGCCACTAGCGGCCCTTGACTCTCGTCTATAGTGCTTGACAAACCAGTGCTACAGGGGGGTAAATGAAGCAGTGACTTCTTGCCCTCCTGAAGTAGTTACATAACCTCTGCCCTTCCCCATTCCTTTTCCTTAGATTATATTTGCCCACTGTGTTAGGTTCCATAAACCTACATATGCTAAAGCTCTGGGATGCTGCTTAATTCTTGAGGACACCAAGCTGGAAAAGAGTTCCAAGGCAGAGGTTATCAGTGGCTAATATCAGGACTAGTACTTGTTTGGCTGAGGAAAGGGAATTCCAAAGTTGAAAGGGGGCTGGGCTGCTGATCCTCTGTGTCAAAGCCAAGCAGGTTGCTGGGAAACTGGAGTTAGGAGTGGCCTGCCTGGTAATATAGACCAGTTCTGTCAAGATGGCACCCACGCTAGGGAAGCTGAGTGTTGAGGTTTGCACCAGAGGCTGGCTGTTCACACACAGGGACTGCTGCATGGACCTGATTGGACAGAACCATTCCTTGTTCTATTTTTGAAGCTTTTTGGCTGAAGCCAGTGTTTCACAAAAGGAAATGGAAGTTGGCTGATGTAATAGAGTTTAAAATAGTTGTCACCTTTGGGGATCTAACCTAGATTGTAATTTTCTTTTATGTGTTGGGTGTTTAGGACTCAGAATGTGGTTTTAGGACTGTAAGGTTTGTGGGGTAAGGGAGCAGAGAGCTCATTTTGTGGGCAAAAGATTCTTGCAGCACTGGACTTCACTGACCCGGGAGGTAGACTTTTAACACATCCTGATTCTTTCGTAGTTTGAGGAGGTGCTGGGTGAAGAGAAGAGTTCAGTGTGTTGGTCTTCAGTCTTCCCTTTTAGAAAGAGGATGAGAAGCCTCCTAATTCATGTGTGCAGGTTGTTGTGAGGATCTCGAGGGGCAACGATTAACACCCAGCAGTTGCAAGCAAGCGCAATGGAATCCTACCACAAGTTCCCTGTCAACAACAGTAGGGAGACATGAAGGAAGAGCTTGCAGGTTAGCAGAAGTGCCCTTCACCCCTCCCTGTGGCTCAGGAAAGCACTAGGCTATAAACAGGCTATGCTTGCCTAGAGGAGACCAGCAGGGTATAGTGGGTAAGGGTAAGCTCCTTCAGCTATGCTCTTGAGAAGTTTATGCAGTGAATTCATTAATGAGAGCATGGAATGCTTGTGCCTAGCCATCCTTAACTGGCCTTGATGCACAGGTGACATGCTTCGAGCATTCCATGCAGCCTTGCGGAACTCTCCAGTCAACACCAAGAATCAAGCCGTGAAGGTAAAGGGGTTGTGCTTTTACTCTACGGGGTGCTGTCAAGATAGGCCTGTGGTTGTCTCCCAGCAGCAGTCTAAGCTTCCTAGGGCCTGAACAACATCTGCTTCATCTTTGTAGCACTGGGAAGTGAGATTGCACTGGGCACTGCTTTCCAATGAAGCCTCCTGGCAGTCCCCAAATCATGTCGGGGCTCCTCAGACACCAAAGCTAATGGGTTGTGTGTGTGTTGGCTTCATGCAACACTCTACAATAAGCTATACCCCATCCCCAAAGCTGTGTGTGTGTAGTGGAGGCTCCCCAAAGAAATGCTTTTCCCCAGGGTGTGGTAAGAAGTTGGCCCAGCCCTTGCTGATTAGCAGAACAGATAAATTAGCTGACAAGTAAAGCAGACCAGTGTTATGCTTTCATAGGCTATTTATTGAAATGTTTTACACCAGGGTGCCTTATGGATCTTTTGTTTTTTTGTTTTTTTGTTTTTTTGAAACGGTTTCTTTGTAGCCCCAGCTGACCTAGAACTTTGTATGTAGACCAGTCTGGCCTTGAACTCACAGAGATCCCCCTGCCTCTGCCTCCCAAGTGCTGGGATTAAAGGTGTGAGCTACCACGCTCAGGGATTTTTCTACTTTAGGTGAAAAGAGTCAAAGGATTTCCCTCTGGGTACAGTGGGTAGCATGACAGTGCCATAATCTGCAAAGTCTAAGGCCTTGTACATGTCATCAAACAGTGGCACTTGAAGCTGGAGTTGTAGCTTAGTGGTAGAGGGCTTGCCTGGCACCAAAAAAGAAAGTGACTTTTGTCTGTAATAAACCACTTACTCTCTCCAAAGTAAGTGGAATAACGTAGTTGTAGAAATAAGGGTTACGGTGAAATTGAAACCAAAGTGTAGCCCATTTTTCTAACTTTCCTCAATGAATTTGAAATTGATCAGTGTTTTCTGTTAGGTTTTGACCACTTGGTGTTCTGTGCCAATGTTGGGGACATGCTAGTATGTGGCCTCACTCCCTTTTTCTTTCCTGTGTAGGAACGAGCCCAGGGTGTGGTGTTGAAAGTACTTACAAACTTTAAGAGCAGCGAAATTGAGCAGGCTGTGCAGTCACTGGACAGAAATGGCATTGACTTGTTAATGAAGTACATTTATAAAGGGTTTGAGAAGCCCACGGAAAACAGCAGTGCAGTGTTACTCCAGTGGCATGAAAAGGTATGTGACCACATTGCCCTGCAGCTGCCTGGAACTAACCCTAGGTTCCAGACCAGCAGGCCAGACTCTAAAAGCAAATGTGGAGTGGTCTGGTGGCTTGAGAATGGCCAGGCCTAATCCCTGACACCTGCACATTCACCTTGTCCATGGAAACACATGGTCAGGATCTTCAAATTCTGGCAGTCATCATTGATTTTGCTTTGTAGCTGTGGATTTATGTGTGGTAGGACAGACTGCCCTTACACAGGCTGGTGGTATGGTGAGATAGGAGGGGGCTTTGTTGGGGCTTCATGTTTTCTTTACATTAGGGAAGACAGCTGCTTAGGGAAGGGGGTGTTGGAGACATCTTAGAAATGTGGGTTCAGTCTCATTGTGGCATGTTAAGCAAGCACTCTACCCACTGAACTACATCCCCAGCTTGAGGTTTTCTTTTTTTGTTTGTTTTTTTCTCTGATCCTAGAGACAGAACCAAAACCTTCGTTAAGTGTTAGGCTGGTGCTCTGTCACTGAGCCACACCCCCGGGCAGTGTTGAATTTTAAGAGTGCTGCTTTTACTGAGGTTAGGTCTCGCCAGCTAAGTGTTGGGCTGTAGCCTCTGGTCCTGCTGGTGGGGGTGCTAAGCCTTTCCATCCTCACTTTTGTCTGGGCTCAGGAGTTGCTGGTGGCTATGGATCTCAGAGATGGAGCCTGTAATAGTGACCTCTGTTGTAAGGTGACAGGCCCTTTCAGAGCCCTGAGATGACTTATCCTGTTAGCAGGCAGCTTTCGTGGGCTGCTGTGCATTTATTTCTGTGGCTAGGCAAGTGCCAACAGGCTGGAAACAATGAGCTTGTTACAGGGAAACTCACTCTGCTGAGTACCTGGAGACAGTGGTCCTGAGCCGATTCTACTGCCTCAAAAAAAGCTGGACTCTTGGCTCCAGGACAAGGCTCTCTCCAGAACATGGTCTTTCTCAGCAAGTCTGTGACATGTGATAGTGGGATTTAGGTCCAGGAGCATGTGTTCTCATCTCCCTGGCTAGTGAGGCTTCCCTCTGGCCGGCGAGTATTTGACATGTTTCCTTTTCCTGTCCTCATAGGCTTTAGCTGTAGGAGGACTAGGCTCCATTATACGAGTTCTTACAGCAAGAAAGACTGTCTAAAAAAAAACAACAAAAGACTCATGTTACCTTGAGAAGAATTTTGGATACCCAGACTGGTGAAGAAAGGACTGACCGTGGACCGTCTTCCTAGGAACTCCCAACTAAATATTTCAGGACACATATCTGCTAAAGTTATTTTATTTTCAAGGTGGAGGGAGAAACCATGTTATTGCTTCCTAAATTCTTTGCAGGGTCTGAGTCTGCTGTTGTCTACAAAGTAACACAGAACTGACACTTGAGTATCAGACTGTCTGGCCAGTTTGTGAGGTGTACCTGTGTGTACTGCCTGTTTAAAATGGGGAGGGACTATTTGGGCAGGTGCAGATCCAAGGGCTGTGGTCAAAGGGAGAGCTTGGGTGGAAAAAAACCTGAGAGTTTGTACAGATACCGTGTCTTTTCAGAGAAGCCGGGCTCTCTTGGGTTCATTGTAAAGTGCCTGCTGCATCAATAAAGCTCTTGGCTTATTAGTATATTCATTGTCGTGTGTTTCCTGTTTGTAAAGAAAAGGATGGTGATGAGGGAGAGTTGAATGGTTGGGAAAGCTCATGTGGAAGGGGTATGCACGTCTTACCATCCCTGGGGAGTGAATACAGCCAAAGGTCCTCTTGTCATAGCAGTATGCCAAGCCTGGCTGCAGTGATCCTGGCTGCCACAGAGAGGCATTTTGCTGAATACTGTTTCTTACTCCTTTGATTTGTATGTAATTTTGGAGCTTATTTAATAAAGAGCCAAACATTTAATAATTGATCAAGGCTTCAAAAGTCATCCATTTGTGTGATTACAGTCGAGTTTTAGAGGGTGGGCCTTAGCTGTCTCTGGGCATTGGCTCTCAGTCCATGCCTTGACAAATTTTAAAGAACTATAACACCAGTAACAGCAATCAGCCGGTAAATGTTCCTACAACCACTTATAACCTCTTCAAAGGGCAAAGATGCTTCTGTTTCAGCACTGTAACTGCAGAAGGTAGGCTCCTTTACAGACTCTGATCAAGACATCACAGGCCCCGCCTCTTCCAGCTCCTCTGTAGAACTATTGTGATGCTTGAAAGGTAGGACTAGGCTCTTGGTTTTATTAAATCACATGTATTCCTTCACTTCTATCCAGCTGCAGAGCTTTTTGAAAGACAAACATCTGTAGCCCTTGAAATATTTAAGACACAATGGACGAGATTTAACAAGTCAAAAGAAATACATCAGACTTTATCAAGTAAAACCAGTCTAGTTGCATCTTGGAGAGCTTTAATCAAAAAGTATTGCACCAAAAATGAATTTTCTACAGCAGTTTTTAGGTAATACCACCCCTATTTACAACACTGGTAGTAAGATCAAGCTCCAATGTGCATATATAAAGAGCTACATATACTGTCTTATCAGCAAAAGTTTTATACAAATAAAAGTGCATTAAGTCAACTTGGAATATCTACTCCATTACTCTCTTAACGCCAAAGGAAACTCAACATGCAGCAGGAAATCCTGGCCAGGAGTTCTCCCTTAAGGAGTATACTGAGTAGACTCACTCCATAATAGGCCCCACAGGTACACCTTAATTTTTTTTTTTTTTTTTTTGGTTTGTTGTGTTTTTTTTTTTTTTTTTTTTGGTCTTTTTGAGACAGGGTCTCCCTGTAGAGAGAGAGAGAGAGAGAGAGAGAGAGCGCAGCTTAAGGGCTGAGGAAGCCTTAGGAGTAGAAGGGGCTTCCACAGTCGGGACCACAGCTGCTTCGGGTGAGTTGTGGATTCCTGGTCCTTGGGTGTCTTATCTGGCACGGGAGCAGAGGTGGAAATCTACTAGGTGGAGAAGCTACCTCATCCTCACCAAAGTCACAACAGTGGGACTGTTTCATGTCCCCACTAAATGGGAAGTGGCATTCTAAAGGGAACCCTTCAAAGAACCACATGAGGATGGCGACTGGAGAATGGTTTGTTAGGATGGCAGAGCCCAAGCCACATCCAAAGTAATTTCATCCTGGCTTGGGAACTCAGATTTAGAAGGTAAACTGCAAATACTTGGATTTCTGTGAGACACATTATATGTATAGACATACATATATTGGTCTTAAGCACAATTGAAAAATACAACTTGGGAGTGGAATTAAAAAAACAACTTTACCCAGATAACTAATCATATATTTAAAAACTCCAGTTATTAATTCAGTTTATTTACCAATGAAACTTTTATCAAGCTAAATCATATGGTTTCCCTTTAGATCTGATGTGGCTTATTCAGAACAAGTGTCAAAATGAACACAAGTTTTTTATCAGCTACAACCAAGGCATGTATGCTGTTGAGAGCCGCAGCCAGCTGGGGCTGTCTGGGTGGCATGTATGAATGTAGTGTCAGCTTAAACACGGGCAGAGGAAGCTCCAGCCTGGCTCTGCACAAGGCAGACTGCCTCCAAACGTGGTCAAGGCTGGGGAAGAAGGGACAGAAGCTGCTTCACTGAGTTCCGCAGGTTGTCCTTAGGTAGAGAAAGTGTGACTGCATTTGCTCAGTGAGTGATACAGTGACAGAATTAGGAGCAAAGCAAGTAAAACCACTGCTTCGGGGAGCAGGCACCAGAGAAGGGAAGTGGAAATAGGATGCTAGAAATATTTTCCTCTTGATGTTCTGATTTTCCTTTAGGAACACCAGTTAAATAAATTTTATAATACAGAAGACATGTTTATAATAGCGAAGAACTTTTGCTATAAAAAATAGTTTAAAATGGTTTACCAGCAACCCATCCAAGACAGTACATTCATTAAAAAGGCAATTGAGTGTATTTGGTGCTATACTTCAAAGATCTTTTAGTCTGTTTGCTAGTTCTCAAGTACAACGGAGATGCCTTCAAACTTGCATATTCCTCAGAAGTCCACACTGGTCCCAGGTACCTATGAGATGGACACATCTCAGGTTCTAGTTTGGGAAACAAAGTGATGTTTTCTTGAGAGGAAGGATTAAAAGTTTCTTCTCACATCAGGATGGAACCCAGACATGCTAATGGAAGGGGATGTTAAAGACCACCCCTGAGTTGGCTTTTTGTCAAAGGTCTAGCTTCACCTCCAATGTCATGTCACCTCTGCATGACAATCAGTTGTCACCTGACATACCTGCAGTTCAGTTTTAAGTGCTAACGTTAAAAGTTAGAGGACTTAGGTGCAGCTGGTCAGAGCTGGGATATTAGCAGCACTGTGGAAATCTGGGTAGTGCCTGGGATTCTTTCTCCTGTTTGGTAATCAGTAAGACAGGACTGGCTCCCTCCTGAAGTTCTTGTCAGCCTGTAGGAAGGTGGGCTTTAAGTCTTGTAAACAATGTTTAGACACTTGTACAAAATACTGCAGTTACAGTGATTAAAAACCCACCCAGTCTGATGTGTCAGTGTTCTTTTCACAGAAAAATGCCACCCAATGGAGCTCCAACTTTGGAAGGTTCTCTATCTAGGACCATGGTATCCGAGGGCTGGAGATAGACGGCCGGATGCTGCCCTTGGGAGCTGGTTTGGATCCAAACCAAGACATCTGCATTTCAAACAGAAAAGGTTCCTGAACTGAGAAGCAGGATTTGGGGGGGGCGGGGAAGAACTGGGAGCACAGGTAGCCCCTTGCTCCTCCAGCCCCTCCCCAGCCTTAGCCCCTGCCCTCAGACATCTTGACCAGCTGGTACCAGAGGAATAAGCAAGAGGCTTCCCAACCAACCAGTCTGCAGGGTGAAGAGCCCATATTAGGTAGGGGAAAGAAATGAGGGAAATTGAGTGGATGACAACACAGTGAAACTGTAGGAGGTTTTTTCTATTATAGCTTTTATAAAGCGGCTTTCAAAATTTTATGGAATTTGCTATGCTGCTGGTTGAACCCAGGGCCTTGCACATGCTAGGTAAGCACTTTACCAATGAGCTACAACCCAGCCAGAAAAAAAAAGTAAGTCTAGGTACTAGGAAAGATCTTCAGCTATTAATGAAAATGCTGTGCCAAACACAATATCTGAGTGACATAGTACAGACATTGGGCACAAAGAATGCCCTTTGAAATGCCTGGTCAATCCAGTTCATCCTCCAAAAGCAACCAAGTAGATGGTGTAGCTGTGGCTGGTCACCTGCCTCAGGAGCTGTCTCATGGCCAGTGCCTGGATGACTGACTATACTGTGACAGCTGGAACAGCAGGCAGTGAGCCTTACCTTATATTCCAGAGTTTCTTTGAGCATGTTCTCTTCCTCTTGTGAGAAGTTCAGCAACACTGACACTGCTTTTATAAGATGAAAAGCCTGAAACAAAATTCAATTTTAGCTGGGTGTGGTGGCACATACCTTTAATCCCGGCACTTGGGTGGATCTCTGTGATATCAAAGCCAGCCTGGTCTATAAAGTGAGTTTCAGGCCAGCTGGGGCCACAGGGGAGACCCTGTCTCAAAAATGCCAAAAACAAATGAAAAATAAGTTCACTTTTGTTGCAATGGGTCTTGGGGTAGGCAGGAAATCAAGGGGCTAAACTGCAGCATTTCCTGTGTGGCTTGGTTTACAAGGATGAGGTACTATGTACAGTTCAAGCCTCCTGATCCAGCTCTCACTTTGGAAACTGGCAGAGCCAAGAGAACATTCTCACCAGCTACCCTGCTCTTCCACAGGATGTAGAAACCCTGGGCAGACTCTCCAGGTCTCTAACTTGAGCATTAAAGCTAGGATTCAAGAGGGAGACCCACATCCCCCCAGGAGCCACTTCCCACCATGGTCTGCCACTCAATCAGCAAGCAGGCCTGTGCTGGGGGACAAAGAGGAGAGACAAGGCAGTGATCTAAGTGGGAAGCCATGCAGGGGTGGCTCTAGTACCCAAAAAGCACCTCAGAAGCCTTTACCTCGGATTCTCGACAGGACATGAATTTTAAAACAACATGTTTAAGGTACTCGAAGTTGATCTCTCGGGCATCAGTAAGGTCAGCGTTATTGGTGACAGAAGGGGCCATGTTTGGCGTCTCGGGGCCTGGCTTCTCCCGGACTTCAAATAGCTCACTGTCGGGTCTGATTTTCTGAAAGTGGGAAATGTGCCATGTCAAACCCTTCAAGATGGGTCTAGAACCACAGGGGATTCCTCAGCCCCAGTTATGACCAGCTGCTGCTTCCTGGCTGATCCTGCACCTCATAAGGCCAAAGGACTCTGCCTGGAAGGAAGCACCTGAGCTTGAGGCAAGCTCAGCTCCTCCAGGTGGGGTTGGTGGCTCAGAGGAGGGAGACAGGCACATGTGATAATACAGGCAGGCACAGAGAAGGCAGGCCTGTGTCCAGAGTCAGAGGAGTACTTCTCAAGCTCTAAGGCCCTTGTGCCACCTGACCTCTCAGAGACCCTGTTGTAATAATCTAGGGGTATACCACCAGGCAGCCAGGTACTCCAGGAAGACCAAAGAGTCAGGGAGGGCATGGGAGTAGGGAGAAGTGGGCTAAGTGCCTGGTAGGCACAGGCTGGGCACTCACCAGCTCCTTCTGCAGAGTCTTCTTAAGTTCCAACATCCTCTGCTGCATCTGCTTTATGATCTGAGGTAAACCCCACCCCCAAAGCCAGTTGTCAGAGCCAAGTTTCATGGTTTTCAGAGGGAGACCACCTAGGACCCCCAACACGTTAGAAGGCCTTCAGGGCCCTGCTGTGAGGCTTGAGCTCAGCCACCATGGGCTCTTCTTTCTCCTGCCATTACTCTCCACCCCAGAGGGGCCACAATAGCACATGTTCGCTCTGCAGGACAGTGCTGCTAGGAAGAGCTCTGCAGAAGACACCACCCTACAGATTCTATCTCTTGCTGTGATCTCCCGAGTAGCACATTCTAATTAGCACTGCTCTGAAACTGAGCATTTGCAGTATTACTTTAGACAGTGGAAAGGTCATAGATCTCTGTAGAATCCATTCACCCTAGGTTTTTATACCTTTGGGTTTTTTGTTTATTTTTAGAGACAGGGTCTCCCTGTGTAGACCAGGCTGGCCTTGATCTCAGAGATCCACTTGCCTCTGCCTCCCAAGTGCTAGGATTAGAGGCGTGCACACCAAGGTTTTATAAAAATTGTAACTGGTGAGTTTAACATTAAACACCTTAAATATAATTTACTATGCATTTCGTTACTCATTAGAAATGCTGAACTCTATTTTCTCAATTAAAATTTTATAATCAGTAACACAGAATTTGTTTTTCTCAGTGATGGGGATTAAACCTAAGGAAAAAGTTCTAAATAAAAATGTCTCCAGCTGGGAGTGGTGGGACTCACCTGTAGTGCCAGCACTTGGGAGGCAGAAGCAGGCGGATCTCTGTGAGCTCAAGGCCAGCTAGTCTACATAGTGAGTTCCAGACAGGTGAGATGGGGCTACGGGAGACCCGGTTTCAAAAAGACCAAAAAAAAAAGAGTCTCAAAAGTCTCACAACTATAATATCAAAATGAGAATTTCCTTTGAACTTGTAGTCTAGCCACAGCTTAGGCCTTAGAATTTTGAATACTTTTTTCCACGTATCATTTTTCATAGCGTTCTATTTTCCCCAGTGATTGTGTGTGTGTGTGTGTGTGTGTGTGTGTGTGTGTGTGTGTACGTACACAGGGCCTCATGTTGCCTAGGCTGGCCTCAGACTTGCTATATATTTTAAAAAATGATCTCAGCCAGGCACAGTAGTGTACCCCTTTAATCCCAGCACTCTGGAAGCAGAGCCAAGTGGATCTGTGTCTATATAGTGAGTTCCAGGCCAGCTGGGACTACAAGGAGACCCTGTCTCAAAAAGACCAAAACAACAACAACAACAACAAAAATTTAAAAATTATCTTGAACTCCTGATTTTCCTGTATCCACATCCGAAATGCTGGGATTATAGTCACCTGACACTATGCATGGCTTCCCAATGGCAACTTGTTTGGACAGGACTCAAACTCAGAGAGATCTGCCTTCCTCTGCCTCCTGAGTGCTGGAATTAAAGGCACCACCACAACTGGCCTCATTTTTTCCTTTTTTCTTAAAAAGACCTCACATAGCCCAGGCTGGCCGTGAACTCCTGACCCTTATGCCTCTGCCTTCTGACTGATTTGCATTGAGAAAGAGAGAGAGAAGCCATCAGACTGGGACAGAGAAATGCACAAAGGCAGTCAGGAAGCCAACCTCTAGAGAAGAGATGGCAGCCTGGACTGGGGACAGTGACACTGAAGAGCAGCTGACCTAGGGGGTAGTCTGAAGGGAAAACCAAAGGTTTTGCTATGGGTCTGGACCCTGGCTGTGAGAGGAACAGTGGAGCTGAGGATGACTCCTAGGGTTCTGCCACTGCCTGGATGGGGAGGATGCCAGTAGAAGCTGGGGAGCAGAGAAACTTCAGATGCTGCACACTTTCCTGTGGAGACAGAGGAGCTGGGGGGTGGACATCTATCTCACAGAGGTGGAGAGGGCAGCACCCTGTGGTATGTGAGATCATGAGGGCTGCCCAGGCAACTCAGGTGTCAGGAGTGGGGAGGAGCTGAAGGACAGGGCAGCAGTGTGCGGCTTGCGGGTGAGGGCAGGGTGTTTCCCAGGCACTGCTGCAGGCAATGAGAAAGAAAAAGAGGAAATGCTTTTTTTTTTGAACTGCTGCAGCAGCATTGATTGAAGTGAGTGTTACCAATGAGCTTGACAAAAGTTTGTCTCTGGAGAGTTTGGGAGGGAGGTGTGTGCTGAGAGAGCAAGCGGGTAGAAATACAGATGGCAGGCATGCCCCCCCATGTCTCTACTGGAGGAACAGAGAACTTGGGTGTAGTGAGAGAGGGATGTGAGTGAAGAGAGCACTTACCAGACAGTCCCTATCACACAGTCCTGCCCACAGACAGGATGACTTGGTAAGCAGAGTGACGGAGGAGCAAGAAGGGAGCAGCTGGATGCTCCCAAGAACACTGGGAGGCAAGTGCAGAAGCTAGGATGGGTACACTGCAGGCAAGGGATGGGCAGGTTGTTGTCTAGGTGAGGCAGGATGTCAGAGAGGTGATGAAGAAAAGGGCGAGACTGGCAGATGCCAAGAGAAAAGAGTGGGGCTGGAATGAAGGGCAGTGGAACAGAAAAGGCTGCTGGGGCCATGGGCATCAGCCCCTTTGACACTATGGCTACAGGCTGGGGGCAGTGAGGAGTGGGGTTTAACCTGAGCTGGGGCTTGGCTAGGGCAGTCTGATCAGAGGGTAAGGGACCCAAGGATTGAGGGTGTCAAGGTGGCAGTCACTATGACACACTAGAATCTCAGCTGTGTAATAAAAGTAGAAAAGCTGTGGCCAGTAAGGGCAGAGGCCTGGCCATTAGCAGGTCCTGGGAGCACAGATCAAATTTACCAGTGGGAAAAACTACACTCTAGCTCCTGTGACTGCAGTTGAGCTAAAGCTAGATAGGACAACAGGGAAGCCATTTCTATGAAGTCAGGATCCTTGTGACCAGGAAGTATGAGGTACCATGGCTTCTGGGATGCTGAGGTCCCAATTCATGCCCAGACCGGGCACTCTTATGAGTTCACTGGGCCACACATTTTTCTCTATTTCATATTCCATGGTAAGAAATTAAATTGGGGGGAGGGGGACACTTCTCCCTTCCTTAACTACCCCATCTCTAATCCAGAACTCGGAGGCAGGATTGTATGTCAGAGTGGTACCTAACCAGTGCACACTGAGCTTAGCAGCCTAGACGGGCAAGCCTGACTTCATAGGTGCAGAGGTGGTGGGAAGTGCAGGTCAGGGCACATCTGGGCCCCTAGCAAGCAGTAGACTATTTAGAGTTAGCCTTCCTTTTACCCCTAATCCAATGCAACACTGAAGCCAGGATTGGACTTATGGTTCGCAATTGTGGAAAAGAAGCACAAGAGGAGGGTGTAGCTGTCCATATGGCTGCTTGGGACAGAAGGACAATGGGAACAGCCAAGGGGGCAGCTGCTCAGGCTCTGACACTGTGAATAGTAGCTCAAAGAATACAGGACAAAGGGACTGGGGGGGAGAGGTGGGAAGTATGAGCAAAGGATGATTTGAAGGAAGCAGGAAACCTTTTCAGCATGAGGGAAAATCCTGAGGTACCTTGGGCAGCATAACCCTCCAGGAACAGCTGGATTCTCTCCAGCCTGAGGGTTGGGTTAGAGACCCATGGCCAGGCAGGCACAGGGTATCCTCACCTTATTTTTCTCTGTAAGTTGCTGCTCCAAGTCCTGTTTTTCCTTCTGTAGCTGCCCTAGATCCATGGCCCCAACCTCACCATTTGGAGTTCCTTCTGTAGCTGGAAGCTGGTATGCAGGATCCTGCATGACCTTTGAGATTACCTATAGGATGGTGGCAACAAGACAAGAGTTGGGTGATGTGGAAGCTAAGCTGCAGGTGTGTGGGGAAGGGGCACCAGTTCAGTCCACAGGTGTGGCCTGGTATGCTACAGCAGGCAGGACCAGAGGTCAAGTATGAGATCCCACCCAATACTTGCCAGGGGAACGAGTGTCTTTTTGTAGAGTCAATCTGTACACTGACAAGTGTTGCCACCAGGATAGCCCCACAGGCTTTAATCTCAGTCAGCTGAGCACCTTTACTACAAAGCAATGACCCAACAAGTATAGGGCAGGAGCTCTACCTCCTACTGCAGCACAAGGATGCCACTTACAAGAGGCTTGTGGCCCTGTAGCTGCACGAGGTCCTCTTCTATTGTGGTTGCCATTGCCTCCTCTGCCTTACAGCTCTTGAGGGCCTCCAGTTCACACTGTAGCTGATGTATCTGCAGCAGGGCAGAATCATGACCTAGGGTGTCAGAAGGAGTGTGCAGTGTGAGCCAGTGACTACACACTGCTCTGTGATGAGCTGGCTCACTAGTGACACCAGGCTGGTCAGATGTTGACTCCTTACCTTTCTCCAGCTGGCAAAGCTCCTGTTCTTTCTGGAGAAGTACCTCGTCCTTCTCCCGCAGGCTCCGCTCCTTCTCATCTACTATGGCGGTCAGTTCAGTAGCCTTGGCAGGAAACTTAGCATGAGAGGAAGCTGGCATCCTAACCTACTCTCTCACAGGGACTCCCATTTTTCACTTTGGGGTAGGGAATCAGGAAACGCTCTAAACTGTCTGTAGCCTAGAACAAACCTATGACAATCTTATATTCCCACAGACATACACAGATCCATTTTCCTGGGTGGCTCTGTATAGGGAGCTCGTTCTCACTGTCCCTCTGGCCCATACTGGGTTTTGGCTGGCCTCTCAACATACCCTTTCCTGACCCTGCCACTCCAGTGACTCTCCTCATTCTACTACTGGAAGGTAAGATACCCCAAGTCTTTTCAGGTGACTCTGGGACTCAGGTTAGTCAAGGATTCACCAGGGGCCTTGAGCCAGGAGGCCCAGAGCCAGATCCTCTGTCTCCACATGTAGCTTCTCCCATACTTCCCAATGAGAGCTCAACACACCCTTGTATAGACCTTGGGGATGGTGGGTGGTGATGTGCCCCTCACAGAATTAAAAACTGTTAGCTCCCTGGCTGAGGACTTTTCTCCAGTTAATATCTTACAAATAAGTATGTGAAGCTGGGCATGGTGGCGCATGCTTCAATCCCTGCACTTTGGAGGCAGAGGCAGGCGGATCTCTGTGAGTTCAATGCCAGGTCTACATAGTTAGTTCCAGGCCAGCTGGGGCTACAGGGAGACCCTGTCTCAAAAAGACAAAAAAAAAAAAAAAAAAAAAAAAAAAAAAAAAAAAAAAAAACCCAAAAAACCAAAAACAAAAACAAACTAAATCCACTAAGTATGTGGCCATGAAAACTTAGAAAGTGGCATGATATGGGGTATGGTTTCTCGGTAATATTTTTTCCTGGTATCCTACAGATAACATACTACCCAGATGACTATGTTCCCAGAGACCCCTGACATGCCTACCTAAATGGGGCATCTCTGATGGCTTCACAGCAGGGAGCACTGTGATCCTGATACTAGAGGGTTAACACAGCTTTGGCCGACACCTTGGTAGCCAGCCAAGGGGCCCACCTGTTGCTGGAACTCTTCTCTCTGTTTCCGAACCTCCTCCAGGGCTTGAGCCATGGCCACGCTCACAATTTCTCTTTGGCTCCACTCATCCTGTAATTCAGAGAACAGGTAGGAGACTGAGCCCCCAAACACTGTATTTTCTTATCTGTATTCTTCACCTGAAGCTTAACTACTTGCAGGGCCAGACTAACATTCTTCCTGCTTCCCTCTGATGACTGCCTTGGTGGACACTGTATCTATTCTTGAAAATGGGCACATCACTGAGGGCTGGTGGTCCTGTGAGTTCATCAGTTAGGCCCCAGGCCTGGTCTAATGAAAGCAACACAGAATAAGAAGACTCATGGTATAGTGAATGTGGTGACTGGGACTGTCTGCTTACAGGAAACATAACTAAGCAGTTATTCACAGCTTTAATAGAGCACCACGCTACTGACTTATCAACATAAGCCCCTACCCCTTTTAAAAGATTTTTTTATTTATGTGCATGTGTGTGTAGGTTCCCATGGGGGCCAGAAGAAGATATCAGCTGGAGTTACATGCAGTTGTGAGCAGCCTGATGTGGGTGCCTAGAACTGAATGCAGGTGCTCTTAAATGCTGAGCCATGTCTCCAGCTTCATTAAATTTTTTTTTAAAAAGCCCATTAAATTTTAAAAAATTACATTTATTTACCTATTGTGTGTGCATGTACACACTGAGTTTGTGTACTGGTCAGAGGGCAACTTGTGAGAGTGGATTCTTTCCTTGTTCCATGTGGCATGTGGGTCACAGGGACTGAACTCAGGTCATAGGGCTTGGTGCCAAGCACCTTTTTTTTCTTTTTTGAGGCGGGGTCTCCCTGAGATTAAAGGCATGCACCACCTCACCTGGCTGATGCCAAGCACTATCTTATTTATTTTTGACAGGGTTTCCCTAGTCCCAGCCTGCCTGGAACTATGTGGACTAGGTTGGCCTTGATCTCTGTGAGATCTCTTGATCTGCCTGCCTCTGCCTCTTGAGAGCTAGAAGTAAATGTGTGTGCCACCATGCCCAGCTTCCATTACCTGTTTTATAGGAGTGAAAACTAAGGCTCTGAGAGGTCTGAAGATTTGTCCCAGGTTTCAGAGATATTAGGCCATAGGGGACAGATTGAGTGTCAGAGCTGGCTGAACCCAAGGCTAGCAACTTTGGAGGCCAGGCTCTCCCACCTGGAACATGTTCCATAGGAACAGGAACACCAGGCCCCTGGTTGCCTGGCAGCACTTCCAGAGAACAGGGACTGTAAGCCATCCTATCCTCCTCTGAGGGCATGCTCAATGCTTGCCAAGAGCCCAGGTGCAAAGTACCAAGTTTCAGCTCCTGACCACTGGTCAGGGAGATGCCCCACGGAGAACATGGAGTGATGTCTGCTCTGTCTTCCCAGAACTCCCTGCCTTCTCTGTGCAAGCACCTCATCATTCCTGCCACCTGGAGACTCTACATGGTAGCTGGGCTGCCAAGGATGATACTCCAATTTTGTGGCATGTGATTCAGGCCTGGCCAGTCATCAGCTCATCCCCTTGACCAAATAAATTCATCTAGTATGTGGGTCTGTCACCAAGATGAATGACTGGAGTCTTTTCTATCAGGACCCTTCTTTATGCTTTGAGCTGAGTGGAAGAAGCCCTCCTGTTCCTGGAGGTACTCGGCTGGAATGTTCCAAGATGAGAGCTGATAGTACGCCTCCCCCCTTCCCAATGTAGGAAATGGTCTGCATGGTGGAGAGAGAACAAGGAAGGGCCAGCAGGGCATAAGTCAGCCAGTTTCCCTGGATCTGTGGGCTACCCAATTCTTCCTAACAATGTGCATGTGGGTCTGCCTTAGGGCTAGTGGAATGATGGACTCTGAGTTATAGCAATTGTCCTCAAAGTGAGTCCAGCTCTTGCAGACAAGGACAACATGGTACTTGAATTTGAGAGGTGAGAGGTGAGACCCTCAAATACCCTGGACAAGACCCCTTGCCAGGGTCCTCTGATCATCTCCTATCCCCAAATATGGGTTTGGGATGTGGCTCAGGTTAGTATAGGGCAAGGGGCTAGAGACTGGTTTGGTGGAGAGAAGGGGAGGAATGCTTTGCAGTCTCAGGAAGTTTTTCTGATGTATAGAAGGGCAGAAGGCCATCACATGTCTGAGAAGACAAAAAGGCAGGTTGAGGTATGAAGAAAACTCATGCTGCCCATGGCACTTTTCATCTGCACCATGTTTGACCCTCAGAGTAAGCTATTTGGGGTCAGGGTCATCACTTCCACTTAACAAAGAGAAAATGAGTCAGGTGTGGTGGCATAGGCCTATAATCCTAGTGCCTGGGAGGCTGAGGCAGAAGGATTCCAAGCCAGAAAGAGCTATGCAGTGATAGCCTATCTCAAAATGGCAAATAAGCAAATAAATAGAGCTGGGGTGCTCTGCAGTAGAGCACACAACTACACAACTAGTACATGGGAGGCACTGGGTTTCAGCCCCATCATACCCATGTGCATGCACACGCGCGCGCGCGCGCACACACACACACACACACACACACACACACGGGGTAGGTGGGGGGTGTTCAGCTAGTAAGGGTTGGCATACAGACAGAACCAGGTAGATGTAGCTCTGAAGTCTACTACCGCCACAGAGCCACATGGGCCCGACTGTAGGATTTCAGGCTGATACTCCAGCCTGCCAAAGCAAGCATGGCCTGCACCTTTCAGAAGCTGCCAGGCCACCCACAAATGGCAGCTCTGCACCTGGGACTGAGCCTATGTATCTATGTGAGGTGTCCAGGGAACAGCTGTTTTTTTATTTTTTAACCTTATGTGTACAAGTGTTTTTAAGTGCACACGTGTCATGCAATGCCCATCAAGGCCAGAAGAGGGGCATTGTATCCCCTGGAACTGGAGTTATGGATGGTTGTTAGCTGCCAGTGGGTGCTGGGAAATGAACTCAGGTCCTCTGCAAGAAAAGGCAGTGCTCTTAATGGATGAGCCATTTCTCCAGCCCTAAGAACAGCTGTTTGAAAAAATAAAACCAAGTATGTATACCAAATCACTGCACTTTAAAACACACGAAGACTGGTAGAAGTAAAGGGAAAAAGGCAGACCAGGCATAGATGAAGACCTGTTAAGACTCTGGTCAGGAGCCAAGGAACACACAGACAAAAATAAAGGAAAAATACACAGATTTCAATAATGCTATCATGTTAATGAATATTCACAGAATGCCTTAAGAAGAACAAAACATACTTCTTTACAAGTGAAACACTTACCAAAAGAGACGATAGGTTGGGCCATAAAACAAACCAGAATAAATAGCAAAGGACTGAAATTATTCAGCATATTCTCATCAAAAATAATATTAAACTCCAAATACCTAGAAAATCCGTAAGTATTCAGAAAGCCCCCCGCCCTTTTTGTCTTTTTTGAGACAGGGTCTCCCTGTAGCCCCAGCTGGCCTGAAACTCTATGTAGACCAGGCTGGCCTCAATCTCACATTGATCTGCTTGCCTCTGTCTCCCTAGTGCTGGCACTAAAGTTGTGAGCTACTATGCCCAGCATATTAACTTGTTTTATTCTTTGTCTCTCCTTCCAAATCTGTTCAACTCCAACAAGGTGGAAACTAAGTCTCTCTGACCAACTGTCTCTCCTACCCTTCACACAGGGTCTGATTCATAGGTGGGACTCAAGTACCTACCAGATGAATAGATATAATTAATTGCTCTACTACTACCCCTGTCCCCTTCCTGTCAATGAGCACTTCTACACCCACTATGAGATTTCCACACTCATAAACCAGTTCTCCAGCCCTCTCCACACTAGCTGGATGCCCAGCAATTTGACTCAGTTCTAACACTGACTACCCTCTATGTAGACCAGGCTGTCCTGAAACTCACAGAGATCCACCTGCCTCTGCCTCTTAAGTGCAGTCTCAGGAACCCCGCCCGGCTGAAAATAGCCGATTTTTAAGAAGCCTGGGTAGGCTGGTTTTCAAGCTTCTGCCTCTCACCACATCCACATTTCTTTCTGCTTTGCAATCCAGGGCCTAGGGCTCTGCCAACCTACTTCTACTCAGCTGGCTCTATCTTAACCTCTGCCAACAGGGGCACTCCAGGGAGAAGGGAAGGCGGCTCCTTCCTGACTCCATGTGCATGCTCCTGTGTGCTTGCAGTGGCAGCTTCCTCCTGAAGCAGCAGATGTAACCACCTTACAGTTTTCCTAACACTTGCCTCTGAGCCCATTCATTGCCTCCTTCCCACACACACCAGTACAGCTGTGTAGCATCCCGTCTATGAGGTCTGAGTGGCAGAACTGTGGGACTGCACTTCCTTATGCTAAGTTTAGTAATTCCAAATTCCTCACTTTGCCCCTACTCTGAGGATTTGGAGTTTCTACTGCAGTTCCTACCTTTGTGGTAGTATCTCCTTTTCTTTCAATACAAGTCTTTAATTGCACCATAAAAGTCACAAATGCATCTCATAGTCCGGGGTCTTGTTTCTGTGGCTGGAACACAGATCTTATTCATCTGCTTGCTACACTATTCCTTTTTCAGAAACTGATATGCCATCCCCCAAAAGGTCTGATATCTTTGTTTTTAACTATGTGGCTTGCTGAATCAAATCAGCTAAATTTGAAACAAATTCAGTAAGATTTCCTTCAAGGATTAACTCATCTTTCTGGGCCTGGGATACTGAACAAGTAACACCTGCCCTCATCTAAATCATCTAAATAAAAATGTATTTTTTACCCAAGAAATTGTGGATTTCAACCAGAGACCCATTCTCCTGGATGATGACACTAATGGGGAAGTGAGCAGCCACAGACTTCTCTGGTAACAGAAGCCCAGTGCATAGAAGTCCATGTTCTCTGTATACCTACAGACAGCAACAGCAGTAGCCTGATACCTTTGAACTCCCTGCCATTCGTCAGCCTAAAACTACTGCTTTATTTACATGGCATCTGTCTGTTTTGTTTTGAGATAGGATCTTATGTAGCTCTCAGACTGGTCTCAAACTTCCTGTGTTGCCAAGGATAACCTTGAATTCATGATCCTCCGTCCTCTGTAATCCTGCTGGGATTACAGACGAGCACCCCCACACCTGGGAAGGATTCTCAGTTCTACAGTGTGACTCAAGTCCTTCTGGAGGGCTCCTCTGAGGCCCTTTACAATAACTGCCTTTCTTCAGAACACTGACATTTTCTGGAATGCTGACAGCCTGATTGCTGATAAGTAACCTTGTCTTCATTCTTATAATAGATGTTCAAAGAAGGAACATTCCTTTTTATTTTGAGACAGGGTCCCATGATGTAACACACTGGTGACCTTGAACTCTCCATTTTCCTGACTTTGCCTCTTGAGTGCTTTCATCACCATGACTGTTAATCAGTTGGGTTTTTTGTTTTTGGTCTTTTTGAGACAGGGTCTCCCTGTAGCCCCAGCTGGCCTGGAACTCGCTATATGGACTAGGCTGGCCTTGAACTCACAGAGATCTGCCTGCCTCTGCCTACCGAGGATTAAAGGAGTGTGCCACCACACCCGGCTATTTTTTATTTTATGTGTATGAGTGTATTGCCTGCATGTATGTGAGTGCACCCATGTTGTGCAATGCCGCGGAGGTCAGAAGAGGGCTTTGGATTCCCCTGGAACTGGAGTTAAGGATGGTTTGTAGCTGCCATGTGGGTGCTGGGAATCAAACCCAGGTCCTCTGCAAGAGCAGTCAGTGCTCTTAACCACTGAGCCATCTCTCCAGCCCCTAGACAAGCCTTTCTTAATCTTTGGTGCTGATGGCGCTGTTTGGGGAGGTTTTAGATGTGGCTATCCTGGAAGAAGCACATCATGAGGGGTGGACTAGGGAGTTCTTAAGCCTTGCCAGATCTCCAGTTGCCCCCTTGCTTCCTATGCCTATGTGATGATGTGAGAGCTTAGCTTCTGCTGCTCCTGCTCTAGCCACCTCCAGCCACCATGCCTCCCTGCCGTGATAGACTGTAATTCCCCTGGAACCGTGAGCTCAAATAAACTCCTCATTCTATAAACTGCTTGGGTCAGTGTTTCTATCACAGCAACAGAAAAGTGACTAATACAGCATGAAACAGCATGCTTATGGAGGTCGAAGGACAACTGGCAGGTGTCAGTTTAGTCCTTTTACCATGTGGTCCTGAGGACTGAACTCAGATCCTCAGGCTTAGCAGCAAGTGCCATTACTGAGTCATCTTGAAGACCCTTTCTGGCTTTATATCACATGTAAAGGACATGGCAATGCCCAGGCATTTCTGGACATTCTGTCGTTAGTGGGGCAGGTACTGACATCTAGTGGATAGAGGAAAAAAATGCTGATATGCCCAACCATAAAGAATCTTAAGTCTAAAAGTCAACAGAGTTGAGGCTATGAAACTGCGTTCCACAGTTCAATCTAGTAATTATCTCCAACTCCTATTTCTCTCGTCCTTTCTTCTTGGGATCAGTGGCAAGTCCTAAAAGCTAACACTCATCCTGAATCTAAGCATGTCTTTCCAAATGTTCACTGACATGGTTGTCATCTCCAGCCTGTGTTACCAACGGTCTTCCTGCTTCTGTCTTCCTAGCACAGATTTCTCTATGTATAGCCAGAGAAATCCCTTCAAAACAAAATCCCTCCATGCTGCTCTGCTTATGCCCTGCAATGGCTTCCCACTACACTTTTTTTTTTGGTCTTTTTGAGACAGGGTCTCCTTGTAGTCCCAGCTGTCCTGGAACTAACCATGTAGACCAGGCTGGCCTTGAACTCACAAAGATCCGCCTGCCTCTGCCTCCCTAGTGCTGGGATTAAAGGCATGCGCCACCACACCTGGTCCCCCACTACACTTTTTATTGCCTGCCAAGCTCCCTGGCAGCCCTGCTCTTCCTTTCACTCAGCTATGGCCACACTGGCCTTCCTGCTGTTCTCTGAACAGAACAAGCCTTCTTCCCCTCAGAGCCTTTATATCCTCCACTTCTGTCTGCAAGAGTCCTTCCCCCAGGGTCTACATTGCTGTACTCACTATTCACATCTTCTGCTGAAATGTCACAGAAGCCTTCCCTTCCCTCCGGTCTTTCACCCTGCTTTCTTTTCTTCAGAGCATTTGCTACTATTTGTAACTTGTTTATTGTCTTTAGTTATAAGGTAGGCAGAGGAGGGCCTGTCTGTCTTATTCCTTGACATATTTTAGGGCTTCCCATGGTGCTTGACACTTGCAGGCATTCAAATGTTTGCTGATGGAAAGCATTAAAAAAAAAAAAAAAAAAAAAAAAAAAAAAAAAAGAGAGTTGGAAAAGTCAATCTCACTCCATCCCAGGCCTGTAATCTCGGCTATCTGGGAAGCTGAAGCAGGACTGCACATTCAAGACTTCTCTGGGCTATAGAGAAAATTCAAAGCCAGCCCAAGCTAACTTAGTGAGACCTTGTCTCACAATAAAAACACTGAAAGGGATGGGGCTAAAGCTCGGTGCTAGGGTTGTTTTAGTATGTTCAAGGCCCTGGGTTTGATTTTTAGTACTGCCCCTCCAACCCCCCCAAAAAAATCTGATTCAAAGGCATGTGTTTCCCACAATTTAGCACCATTGTACTAGTTAGTGCCTAAACAATTCATAAAACACCATCACTGGGAGTTGACAAGGGGCAGACACTAAGCCTCAAATATTCTTGGAGAAGAAGGTCCGCAAAGGCTTGGTATCAGGACCAAACTGGGCAAATATGGCCATGATCCACCATCCAAAGGTATTATGAAAGGGCCAGGGAGGCTGGAGGCCTGTGAGAAAGCAACCATGCAGTTATGTCCAGGGGACAACAGGGCAAGATCTGATTAAAGCACCAAGCTCACAGAAGGGAAGGGCAACAACCCAACAGACTGTTTCTTCGTATCTGTTCAAGGTCCACACAAAAATGTCTTTTTAAGACCTCATTTCAAAAAGTCCTTCTGAAAAAAAAAACAAGTCAGAGGGATGCTTTGACAGCACGGCTTTCAGTTAGCTGCTTACATGGACACAGAGGAAGGAAGAAAAAGGCTAGACTAGACTAGCACAACCTCTAACTATGAAACTTGGACAAACTGCTTGTGGTCTGACCTTCAGCAGCATTAAAAGAGTACAATTCTTCCCACATCCTAGATCCCTGGGAGGACTTGCTGTGGTGAACCTTTTTTTGGCAGGTAACAGAAATGCTGACAAAGTACAATTTCCATGCCTTCCTCATAAGCATGGGACTGTCAGTTGTCTACTCCAAACACACAGGAACTTTTGTAAAACTGTATCAAATACCTTTAGTTTCTTTAGTTCTAATTGGTACTGCTGTAAATTACGTTCGCATTCATTTCTGCTTTCTTTAAGGGCCATGTTTTCTTGTTCCAACTGTCGCTATAAATTGAAAAAAACATAAAAAGGTCTTAGTTACATTATCTCCTCCTGGACAGAGCTGATCTCTCTGACATGGCCCCACTGACTTCAGATCCTTAGCACCCATGTAAGAAAGCTGGGCATGACGGTGCACATCTGGAATCCCAGTGCTAGTGAGGAGAGAAAGGCAAATCCCTATAGCTTACCAGGCAGCCTGTCTAGCCAAATCAGTGAGTTCCAGGTTCACTGAGAGACTGTCTCAAAAAATAAGGTGGAGAGAGCCTGAGAAAGACATTTGTTGCCAACATCTGGCCTCCACAAGTGAAATGATCTTTCTTTTAGTCACTATAAGGGTAGGAGTAAGCAACAGGGTACGGACAAGTAAGAAAAACACTAAAAAACTGCAAGCCTAGGAGTGTGGCTTAGACGAGCACTTGCCTAGCAGGTATGAGGTTCAGTCCCTGGTGCCTCATGAGGAATAACAGGCTTCTCAAAATGCGGGACAGGGAAAAGGATCATGGAAGAGATAAGTTATTAGAAAGGAGTAATATGGGTATCAGAAAAAAATGGAAAAAGCTGAAGAGAAAGGTGGGAGAACACTAGGAAGTCCCTGTGGTGCCCAAGGAAAAGAAAACTCATTTGCTGTGCATCTCTTAAAGAGTAGCCTCTCCCTCTTCTTGTGGTGCCATGCTGCAGTGCCATAGCATGTTGCTGCTGTCTAACTGGGACCACCTGCCAATCGAAGATGGCCCTTTTAATGGCCAGCTACAGGGGCATGGGTGGGTCCGGGGGCAGGCAGTTTCCAGGCCAGGCACCCAAGACTGGAGCAGCCTGGGGATCACCAATGACTGCAGAAGAAAAAAAAAAAAAGTAGACTTTTTGGCTGGGTGTGGTGGTACACGTCTTTAATCCCACTTGGGAGGCAGAGGCAGGCGGATCTCTGTGAGTTCAAGGTCAGCCTGGTCTACATAGTGAGTTCCAGGGCAGGTGGGGCTACAGAGAGATCCTGTCTCAAAAAGACCGAAAAAAAAAAAACCCTAACAAAAAAGTAGCCTTTTCACATCCAGTTAAATACCTATTGGAAAGATGTGAACTGCTCTAATACAGTGGTTCCCCAACCCGGAGAGGAACCCTTCTGGTCAAGTGTAGTGCTTCAGCACAGTGCTCCTGCCTAGACTCCCTCCCTCTCTACTCACCATTCCCTGCTCTGAGGCTGTCTGGTTAGCCACCCATGTCTGTTCCAAGGTGGCAATCTGGGCCTCCAGTGCATGAGTGTGCTCCCTGAACTGCTGTTCTATGACAAGAACCTGCTCTTGTGAAAGGCTTCTCTCCTGGTTTGCAGTGATCTGTAGGAAAATCAGAGGACAGTCAAGGGACAAAGATTTCAGAGACGGGCCTTGATCTCTGTCTTTGATCTCTTCTGCCCTGGTGTACCTATAAATCCTTGCAGGTTCTGCCTGCTGCTGCTGGGTCTGGCCTGCTCTGGAACGTGAAGTCCGGCATTGGTCTTGATGCCACTGGTATACCCCTCATGGTATGTGCTGGGAACCATCCTGTCCCCAGACACAGACCTCCTTCAGTTATCTGCTAGACTTCTTTTGCTGAAGCTTTCCCAGGGGAAGCAGAAGAATGCAGTGAAGACTAGGGCTATGCATAAGAAAGACATGGGCCTTGCCACTTGCTGGCTATGAGCACACAGATGACTGACTAATCCCTCTTAGAGTATGACAGTGCGTATTTCTTAGGAGTGCTGTGAGGACTAAGTGAAAAGCACTACTCACAGCCAACAAACTCAGAACTCAGCGCTGGCTGCTCTTCCCTGGCTTCTAACTCAGTAGCCCACTTCAGGTGTGGTGACTGCTCATTTACTTGTTCCCTTCTTCTCAAGGTTTTGACCTATTTTTCATACCTCTGACTGAAAGGTAAGCTTTAACCCCTTGAGGATCCACAACAGGGTGGGAATTACCAGTTAGTCCAGGGCTCTGGGCAACTCTGACCCTCCAGCAGGACCCTCCCTGTCTCTCTCCCTCCAATTGCTCTGTTCAAATCCAACACAGCTGTGTCAAGGTCGGTGCAGAGGGAAATGGCACCTGACATACAGTAAACACTCACAAGCTTCTGGATCTGGGCTTCCTGGGCAGCCACAGTGTTCCTGCTCTGGCTGAGCTGCTCCTCAGAGGCCTGTAGACTCTGCTCCAACTCCTTCACCTGAGGGGAAACAGAAGCATGCTGTACAAAAAAGTGAGCAGTTTACTACATGGTTTAAATTTTTAAAAAAATATTGGGGAGGGGCTTTCTGAGACAGGATCTCTCTGTAGCCACAACTGGCATGGAACTTGCTACTATGTAGACCAGGCTGGGCTTGAACTCCCAAGTTGTGGGATTAAAGGCATGCCACCATGCCTGGCATGATAATTTTTAAAAATATTTTATGTGCATGAGTGTTTTACATGCATGTATGTAAGTATACCTATGCATGCAATACCCACGGAAGCCAGAAGATCCCCTGGAACTAGAGTTCCAGATTCCCTGGAACTGGAGTCATAGATGGTTGTTAGCCACCAATATGGGTGGTGGAAACCAAACCCAGGTCCCCAGTGCTCTTAACTGCTCAGTCATCTCTCTAGCCCTGAATATATGGTTTTAAAATTCAAGTCAGAAACTATGTATGGTGGCACACACCTATGATCTATCCTCAGAACACTCAGGAGGTAGAGGCAGGAGGATTAGAAGGTCCAGGCCAGCTTTGGTTATGTAGTGAGTTTGAGGCCAGCCTAAGCTATCTTAAAAAAAAGAAAAAGAAAAAACCAGAAAAGGCCAGCCATGATGGCTGTGGAGGTAATCTCTGCACTCAGGAGGCTAAGACTGGAGGACTGCTGCAAGTCTTAGGCCAGCCAGGGCTAAACAGTGAGGGCCTATCTCGAACTAAATAAAATAAAAGAGCCAGGTTGTGATGGCATACCCCTTTAATCCCAGCACTCGGGAGGCAGAGGCAGGCAGATCTCTGTGAGTTCAAGGCCAGTCTGGGCTACATAGTGAGTTCCAGAACAGCTGTGGCTACAAGGAGACCCTGTCTCAAAAAGACCAAAAACAACTAACTAAATAAATAAAAATAAGAAAAAAAATTGAACCAGGAAAAAATATTCAATTCAGGGACATAGAGGCTGCTCAGTAGTAAAAAGTGAGAATAGCAAGGCCCAGCTTCAGTTCCTGACATGTGCACACACAACCACACACACATACACACACACACAAAATTCAAACCAGTTTACATAAGATACTATAGAAATGAACAAACTAGGCCTAAGTCTAACATTGTAAAACAATACTACTCTAATGTTTTCAAGTCTTTATGACTTTTTTTTACAAGTTTATATACAGTTTTCTAAAATATTATTTATTATTTTTATTTATTTTTGTCTTACATGTGCACACACAACCACACACACATACACACACACACAAAATTCAAACCAGTTTACATAAGATACTATAGAAATGAACAAACTAGGCCTAAGTCTAACATTGTAAAACAATACTACTCTAATGTTTTCAAGTCTTTATGACTTTTTTTTACAAGTTTATATACAGTTTTCCAGTTTAAAAATGCCAGTGGAATTATGGTAGGGATTGTATGATCTGTAGATTACATTTGGTAATTAATTCTGTCAATTCAGTGGCATAGAAGTACTTTTGATCACTTAGTGTCTCCAGTTTCTTCTTCAATAAGATAAAGTTTTCACTAGA